ATTAGTTACGTGGTAGTGATAATACCACCACACAGGACTGTGGGAGAATTTAAGTAAGATTGAGTTCGAGTGCGTGCAGGCCGAGGAATAGGGGACAGAGATGCATACAGGAGCTTGTTCTGTCCCCAGTCCCATCCTCCTGTTGTCTGCTTGCCTCAGCTCCTGTTGCCTAAGCTGCTAATGCAGTAATGGAAGGGATTTGTTTCCCCAGTCTCTTTGGGTCAACCAAAGAACTGGTTGGCCGTCAGAGGAACTTGCTGGAAGGCTGGTCACTATCTGGTTGGCACCACGTCCCTCTTTGTGTCCTGGACACCAGACCTGTGCAGAGGCACCTAAACCAAGCCCTCCATAAGAGAGAATCTATTTATAAATGAGGGGGTTAAGTGGATTTTAAACTCCATTTAAGCTCTTGTCTTTCTAGGAAGGATTTCATATTACAGAGTTATGTGTTAAAAAGCAGGGGGTTTGAGGTGAGACTGACCTGGGCTTAAACCCCTATTCTCTACTATTTGCTAGTGGCACAGCCCTTCCCTCTGAGCTTCAGCTTCCTCATCTCTAAGGCTGGGGGGCAATAACTCCTCCTCAGAGGGTTGCTGAGTTGAAACGAGGCCGTGGAAGTGTAAAACATGTGGTCCCTTTTGGGACACAGTGATTGGAAAGCAGTGTAGGAGGACTGAAAGTTATCTTGCTAGGCTGTTACCTCTAAAATGCTTAGAACATGCCTGGCACATGTTAAATGCTCGATAAGTGATGGCTGTTGTGGTAATTATAGAGAAATAAGAAGGTGGAATATGCTGAGGAGGGAACTTACTTATTTCAGCTCTTGAACTAAGGTTTGCCAAACAACCTTCCAGATCACTGACACCTTCCGCCCCCAAGACTGTGTCAGAAGGGAGCTATTAGAACCACTGGCCAAGCCGGCTTTGAAAACACTAAATGAAGACTGTCATCGTGGGAAGGCTTTGAGCAGTGAAGCTGGAACAGTTTGGATTAAGTGCTGGTTCTACTGTTCAGCAGCTCTGCAACATGGGACAAGTTGCTCCATCTCTCTGGGCCTGATCTCTTGTTAAAACTGGCCAAATTCATTCTCACAATAATCGTGGAAATACACTGCAGGTTTCAATTCCAGGCTTATCACGTCACCATTTTCCACGAAGCTTAGGGGCATGGCTTTGTCCTCTAAGGGCTCTGTGCTCAGAGGTAGGGGCTCCACTGAGAGGCATGAGGCAAGCCTTGGGCAAAGGTGGTATCTGGGCAGTCAGGGAGCTGAGATGTGACATGTCTGAGGCCTCCCCAAGGGCCCACAGCGGCGGGGGCTTACACCATTCGTTGTGCTGACAAGTGCCGGGGAGGATCTGCTGCTTTAATATGGAACCGTGTGGTCCAAGCCATTCCCGTTCACAGCTGTGGAAAAGGCCTCCACTATTTCCCAGTGAGCTTGCTGTGCCTTTGGCTCCATGGGGAAGGTGCACTTTCTCTGATGGGAGCTGGGACAGGAACCCAAAGCCATGGTCCTCTCCATAGTAAAAGTGGTTTCCTTCTCCCTGCCCACAGGGAGGACCAGGCTCAGACCTGTGGGCTGTCCTGTGGTGTCCTACCAAGAGGGCCAAAGCTGGAGGGAGAGTGGGGGAGCCTATGGGAAATGTCAGCTTCATTTCCTGGCAGGGAACCTGGTGATTACAGCGGTCATTACAAGCTGGTGTCTCAGGAGCTCTTGCAAGTGCTGTGCTGCTGATTTGAACTTCTGCAGTCAAACCCTGTTCCACTAGTTTATTATGTAAAAAGGGACCTTTGGCTTCTGTGTCTGTCTCCTTGCCCGCACTGCTTTTCAGCTGCCATTTGCTACTTTCCTGTGGATGGTCATCCTCAGCTTCAGTCCTGCCTGGGGAGGGAGGGAAAGAAGGAATGTTGAAAGATCATAACTGGTCCCAATAACTGTCGTAGGAGATACACGTGACCATACAGTTTCCTGGGCTTTTCTTGTCATATTTCACCAGGTCTTAATGTCTTGGATGGTGAGGGTCCCCCTGTCTTCTGATTGATCTACTTCATCTACTGAAAGCACAAGGAGAAAGCAATAAGCATGCTAAATAAAGCCAGAGTTTGAGAGGGCTGCTGAATCACCAGGGGATATGTTTATGATTTTATTTTCCCAAATCATAAGACCCACAGATGGGTTTTTGTTGAGGGGAATTAACAAGCAGGAGAACAGAAGCAGCAGTGTGGAAGGTTGAGTCTGAGAGATCCCATATTTTCTTCCAGATCACATTCTTTTCCAGGGCCTTTATCAGCCACCCCACTTTCCTCCAGACACAGACACTGGGTCTCCCCTCACTGTACAGTGGAGCAGGGAATCACAGAGTCTTAACCTCTCATTTGACAGATGTGGAAAATTCCCCATTGTCCACTGTGTGTGGAAGGGCCCAGATGGAGCCCACATCTGGATCTTTCTGTTGGAGCTGCCAGCTTTTCTTGTTCATTGAAGTACCCTATTTTACCTATTAAAAGTAAAGTATGACAATGTGGTGTGTGTTCACTATCAAAGATCAGAAATGGGGGAAGAGGAAAATCCATTCACAGAGAGTGCAACAATGTTTTGCTGTATTTCTTGCCAGATTTTCCTTTGGGAGGCAGGTTTTTTGTTTGTTTTTCTTTTTACACAGTTCTCATACCACATGCATACAACTTTGTGTCTACTCTTTCCCACTTACCCCAGTAAAGTGCTTCTGCCATAACACTCACGATGCCATACAGCTATCTCATTTCCTCTGTAATATCTCATTGAGTTGATGGATCATTTGCCTAATTATCCCTTATTTTTGGATTTGTAATTGCCTCATAGTTTAAATAATACTTTGAATGTCTTTATTTATGAAGTCCTTTTCATGTTTAGGATTATGTTTAGGATTATTAAGCTACACTTCCAGGAGTGGAATTATAGGGGCTACAGGTCTAAGCACATCTAAAGCTCTGAAAACACATTTCTAGCCTGCTTTCCAGAAAGGTTTTTTACCCTCCTTTTCCAGCAGTGTGGAGAAGTGGCCAGTCCATGGCACCTCCCCCAGGTAGAAGCAGTTTTGATGATGGAATGCTGAGGAACACGGCCTGTCTAGATCTAACCCATCCATAGCCTCTAGTTGAGGACAGTTGGAGGGAAGGGATTGGGTCATTGAGTATGTCAGTGCCTGCTGTGAGCCAGCAGTCATTGTTCCCCTCAGCCCTCAGAAAAGAGACCCCAGCTCTCAAAGGAAGAAACTGAGACTGACGGGAATCAAATTGTCCAATATTGCCCTGCCCCACTGCCCCTTGTGAGGACCAGCCAGGTGTCTCTCCAGGAGATGACTGGCCAGTGTTGCCAGAATGCACAGGCAGCAAGTTGTGGTAGAGAAGGTGCCGGGCTGGGGGGCGGGGGGGACGCACCCTGCAGGCTGCAGAGAGCAGTCTGGGTCTGCCCTTCCAGAGCAAGTGAACAGCTGTGTTGCCAGAATGCACAGGCAGCAAGTTGTGGTAGAGAAGGTGCCGGGCTGGGGGGCGGGGTGGACGCACCCTGCAGGCTGCAGAGAGCAGTCTGGGTCTGCCCTTCCAGAGCAAGTGAACAGCTGCAGGAAGGCGGGGAGAGGATTCTAGCACACAGTGAAAGACTTGTCTGATTCAGTTGGTGGTGGTGAGACCAGAAACTTTAAAAACTCCGTGATGATCCCATGTGCAGTGGAGATGGAGCACTGCTGCCCGGGAGACCCTTTTTCCCTACCGCCCCCCCAGGACAGGGCTATACTTAGCTCTGATTGGGTGACTCAGAGTGGGGGTTGGCCCAAGACTAGTCACTCTGCAGGCTCTTGTACTCTAGGCCTCCACTAGCATAAGCCCCTAAAGGGCAGGCTGCTGAGGCCTGACCCCAAGGCAGTTCCCAGGTAATAGCTTATGCAGTCAGCCCTCTGCATCTGTGAGTTCCACTAACCATGGATAGAACATATTTTTTAAAAGGGCAATAAAAAATAATACAAATAAAAAAATACAGTATAACAGCTTTATACAGCAATTAAATTGTATTAGGTATTATAACTAATTTAGAAACGATTTAAAGTGTGCAGGAGGATACGCATAGGTTATATGCAAATACTACTCCATTTTATATAAGGAACTTGAGCATCTGTGGATTTTGATACCCACAGGGGGTCCTGGAACCAGTCCCCTACAGACACTGAGGGATAACTGTCCTAGTAGGTAGTAGGGTCAGGCATTCTTCTCAGTTTTGTTATATGTATTAGTTCATTTAATCTTCATAGGTACAAGTGACAAGACCGAGGAATAGAGGACTTAAATTCAGCCCAGACAAGTGGCAGAGCCTGTTTATGCAGGCACAGGTCTGGCTCCAGAACTCTCCTTCTGCAGCAGGCAGAGTGGGGCCAAGCATTGGTTGAGTCCAATACTGCCCCTTGGGTGGGACTCTGGCCCCACTGAAGACCTTGGCAGCCAGCCTAGTTCAGGTTCTCAGAGGCCTGAGCCTTACTTTTTCATCTCTAAAATGGGATAACTAAACCTTGAGAGGGCTGCTGTGAAGTTTATTACAACACAGTCAGTCACAGAGGGTAGCGAGGACAGTATGTGTGGAACCAAGGCTGGCAAGGTCATCCAGGCTGGGACCTGTGGTGTCTTTCTCTGAGTAGTGCAGGGAAGCTGGAATGGGAATGAGGTGTGGGATTCATGATCAGATTGGTATAGCTGGAGCCAGTGCTTGGGTTCCCAGCCAGGGTCTGCCCTTTAGTCCTTGTGACCTTGGGTAAGTTACTTAGCCCGCATCTCAGTTCCTTATTTGAAAAATAATGTGTTTCCACAGCAGGTCAGTTGTAGTGGAGCTAGGTTTACTCCATATAAAGTATTTAGAAAACTCTGCCTCCAACTCCCAGCACACACACAGCTTCAGAGTTCATCTGGGTTGGTGTTGGCACTCCAAGTGCACTGACCTTGTGTCCACTCCTCGCCTGCCTTCTGTCTTCCAGGTCGATCCCTCGGGACCTACAGTCTCATCGTGTCTCATGCAGAGGATGGCAGAGGGTACAGGTGGTGGCTTGGCCAGTTGGCGATTTCCCGACAGCTGGATCTCCGGCAATGTGAAGCTTTTGTTTGGGTTTCCCCTCTCTTTTAGTTTTGCTTAATTTTTTTTTTCTTCTTCTTCTCTTTTTCTTTTTTAATTTAAACCATTGACACTTCAGAAGAGCAGGAAGCTATGCTATGGACAGGCACCAATTTAAAGAAATTCAGTGTGGACAAAGCATATGTATAAGTTTCACTTTTAAATTTTATAAGGGGCTAGGGAGCTGTTTTGTTTTTGTCCTTTTCTTTCCCTCCGTTTTCTTTCTTTTACTTGTCTCAGTTCTGCATATAGCACCTCACTTCCCCCAGAGAAGGCTTGCCTCCCCATAGGGATTTTTGCGGTTTCTTCTGGAATGAGGTATGAAGACATAAGGAGACCTCTGGGCCACCTCCCTTCCAGATGCAAGAAATGCCGGACTCTTTGCTGGGCTGGTCCCTGCTAGCCCTTGGGCCTCGGAAATGATCAGAGGTGAAGAACCACGTTAAAGAGGAAGACCAGGGTTTGGCCAGGAGGACTCAAAAAAGGTCTAAGCTGTGGGTTCTGTTCTCTTTAAGCTTTTGGGAGCCCCCAGACACACCAGGACTTAGACAGTGGTTGGAATCAGTTTCTTTCTCTGCCCTTTATAACTGGGAGCTCGGAGGGAGGGGTAGAGGGTGACCATCTCCCATTTGCTGTGGTTGAGCGGCCACCCCACCCCAGTTCTACAACCCTACCTTTGTGTTAGGAAAAAACTTTTGTGCCAGACCTCTGCCTGGGACACAGCTGGATCTTCCACGGGCATCTGTCACTGCTATGAAGTCAGCATCCCCTACCTGCTGCCTCCTGGATCATCGTCGTCCCAGATGTGATCGCAAGTGTCCAGGTTGTCACAGGCTGCCTAAGGCCCTGAGATCCTGTTGTGACCGTTGCCACAACAACAGTGTGTCCTGAACTGGCCGCCAGTGTCGTCTTCTCGCAGTGAAGGGTGTGCCCTGTGTGCCGGGGTCCATGGTGTCATGTACAGTGACACGTGCTGTTAAGCGCCGTCTCCCTTATCCCTAGGAACTTACCGTTAGGTGCCCCCCCCCTCAGAGTAAATGTGTCTGATGGGAAAAGAATGGACCTGCCTGGAGCAGGGTGGTGTCCAGTGGGACTGGGTAGACCCTGTGCCATCAGGTGCCATTCTTGCGCTTGCCGCCTTAAAGCTCCCCCAGCCGTGTCCCTCCAGCCCCACCAGTGACGTCTGTGTAGCCATTCTGACGCTCGCTCGCTGACAACGTTCTTGCAGCCTCCCTAAGAGAGGCCTCCCTCCCCCCGGACTGTCCCTCCCCCCAAAAGGAGAAGGGAAGTAACGTTCCTGTCTTGTCCCTCTATCTGGACATGACTTTGTCTACTCCAAAGGCTTTTTACCCCATTATGGCCAAATAGGATAGGGTCTGTGGGGAAAGGGAAAGGAATTATTTTGTTTGTTTTTTTTTGTTTTTACCTAAACCAGCATAGGATTGATAGGGGAGACAGTTAGAGGACATTTCAGTTGGTATGTGACCAATGGGGTCTTTCCCCCAAAAGCAACAATCCTTTGGCCCTGGGAGCTTGGGAGAGACCAGCAAAACATCAAGCCCAGCTTGGCAATGTGTTTCCTCACATTCTTCAGCCTTCTCTCAACACCAAGATTGCTTCCCCCTCATGGGCAGACAGCTGGCTGCTATTAGCAGGATCCGCAGGGCTGCAGGTGGTAACCAGGCCCTTCCCGTCCTGGGCTGAAGTTTCCTGTGATTGCCTGTCCCTTGTTTCCAGCTCCTCAGACAACCTCGAGTATGCTGAGCTACCACCAAAAGGGTGGGAACAGCAGCATCCCCTAACTGCAATGACATTCTTTCTGCCCCACCACCCTGCCTGCCTTTGGGGGAAGCTGTCTCTGTACGTGAGGACATGAGAAAACAGTCCCCAGGCTCACACCCCCCAGCTCTTCCTGACCTACCGCAGCCGCTGCTCCAATCCCTGCTGAGAGCTCAGCCTAGCAAGTGACTTCCTTTTGCCTCTCTCTTTCCTGCCTTCTGCAGGTCTCAGCCCTGGCTACATAAGGCCTCGGAGACATAGTGCTTCCTTTGTTTTCTTGGTATCTGAGTGTGTGCTGTAGGGCACAGTGGGCAGCCTGCTAGGGGTAGCTAGCTTCCACACACCCCTTCTCCCAGACTCCCAGCCCATTCTTGCTTGGTGGCAGGACCTCTTTCCCTAGTTCAAGAGAGGGCCGGCTCTTTAGCCCCGAGTACCTATTCCTCCCTCTGCTGCCCCACTGCATCTGCTGTGTCCACCTCAGGCATCCGTCCTGCTTGGGGGAGTCATCCCTAAGTAAACACCAGCACTGCCACGGTTGGGCTAGTGCCTGAGGTCTCCGCAGGCCTCTCTACCGCTTCCCCTCGGGAATCAGCTTCCCCTTGTTGCTTCCCTCCTCCTGCCTCCCACCCTAGGCTTGGGCCTACCAGCCACTCTGTGGTGCGTCATCTCAGCGCCACCAAGTTTGTTAGACCTGTCCAAGTTCTAGGAGTTTCCAAACCTTGAAACAGCAGTGAGTCGTCCTCTCCTCGGATCTGCAAAAAGGATAGCATGTTGCAGGGAGGAGCTTGGCCTCAGCCCTATGGGCCCGAGCTCCGTCTCCCTGTCGGCAAGAGGAATCAGCAGGACAGATCGTAGTGCCTTACTCCTGATCCTCCCCTAGACCTGTCCAAGTTCTAGGAGTTTCCAAACCTTGAAACAGCAGTGAGTCGTCCTCTCCTCAGATCTGCAAAAAGGATAGCATGTTGCAGGGAGGAGCTTGGCCTCAGCCCTATGGGCCCAAGCTCCGTCTCCCTATCGGCAAGAGGAATCAGCAGGACAGATCGTAGTGCCTTACTCCTGATCCTCCCCGACCAGACCTCCTGGCTCAGCTGCAAGTGTGTGGCTTCTTTCTCCCTATGTGTCTGTCACCTGCACTCTGTCTCCTGCTGCAGATAGCCATGGGGAAAGGATCCTCCCTCTTGTCCCCATGTCCCCCACCTGAGGGCCACGTCTCTCCCCCACCACCGAGACATCACTACCAGCTTTGCCCAGGACAGAAAAGCTGCTTTAGACAGGTACACACTCTGCTTCTCGCTCCCTGCAGGTTCCACCTCTTACCTCTAGCCAGGAGGATGCAACCATCGGTTTACTCGAGACTGGCTCTATCTGCCCTACTCCTGGGCACCGGGGACTAAGGCTGCAGGCCTCAGCCTCATCTCATCCCAGAGGCTGTGGGACAGAAGAACGGGAACTCTTTCCTCCCACCCACCCAGTCAGGGTTCGCCCCATGGCTTCCCTTCTGAGGGAGAGTATTCAATGTTTACTTAAGAAATACCCTGTTTACAGCTAGAAAAATGACACTGGGTAGACATGTGATTCTGGACAGGGGCTGCTCCCCTTTATGGCACTGCCAGTGGTAGCCCCAGAGCGAATGAAGACAGAGCTGCCTAGGGCAGGGGCAAGCGCCCTTCGCTGTCCTGCTCCCCGGCCCTGTGGTGCTGAGACTGCTCGCCACCTTCCCCACAGCCTTCTGCCCTGGATGTTCCCCACCTCGATCATTCCCTTTCTCCAAGATCCTCAGCTCCTTGACATATCAGCTGTCTCGTATCCTAGAAAACCAGTATTTGGAGCAATAAGATTATTTTTGCTTGAATCTTTTTCTAAGAAAAGGAAAAGAGCTGACATTGTGGGAATCTTCCTTTTATGCTGTTGGCTGTTTACCTTTATAGAAGACAGATCTTAGTACCATGGATGTCTGGATTTTAGCCTTGGGGTATCTTTCGGAAACTTGGGAAAGCAGGAGCCAGGCTGCTACCCCCTAAGGAAGGGACCCTAACCCTCTGCCCTTGCCTTGCTCCACATTGCCCCTTCCAGCCCTGCCCACCAGTGGCCTCCCACCGTCGACCCTGCTCACCTGCCCCTCCTCCTCTCACATCTGGGGGCACTGTGACTCTTACTCTAGGTGGGCCTCTTGGATTATCCTTCCCTTTGATTCGTTCTACTTCCCAGACCTGTGTGGCAGCCCCCAGACAGATGACTGCTGGGAGTCTCCTGTACCTGGCAACTTCACAGCAGCCGAGCTTACGTCATTCAGCTCTTCAGGCCACTGGGTTTTGGAGGCTGAAGCCCAGAGATGTGGCAGCCCCCAGACAGATGACTGCTGGGAGTCTCCTGTACCTGGCAACTTCACAGCAGCCAAGCTTACGTCATTCAGCTCTTCAGGCCACTGGGTTTTGGAGGCTGAAGCCCAGAGAATTTTGCTCTGCCATCCTCCCATACCAGGTTGTAGCACAGCCCTTAGGATAGCGTGAGTCCGTCTCTGACCTGCCTTACCTAGGCTTCAAGAACAGGGGGCTCCTATCTGGAGTGGTGCCCCCAGGGGCAACCAATAGGTGTGACATAGGATTGGCCACGTTAGCATCCACAAACATCACCAAGAGATGAATCCACTGCCGTTGGGTGCCCAAGGGCCCCCTAAGATTGCAGGGACTATTAAAAGGGAGGTCCCCATGTTCTTTTCCAAGAGAAACCACAGAGAAAGGGAGTTTATTTAGGGACATATGAAAGAAATCTTTTGTGCTTCTGGGGCTTCTTTCCATCAGAGCAGGGGAGTATATTTCAATAACTTGTTAACACTCATGTGGGACAGACGGGTGTGAGGGAGGTTTTAAGCCAGGCACAAAGTTAGTTTCAAATACTAGTTAATAAATCTATTTTCCTTTATTTTCTTTTTTTGCACAGAAGCTGGTAATCTAGGACCTACGTGTGAACAACTTTATATGAATATTTTTTGTACTTGGTTTACTTGGGTTGGTATGATACATTATATTTAAGTTCCTTGAACACTGTGGATCCCCCTAATGTGTATGAATGACTGAGGCTTTGTAAATTAAGGGACGTTTGTGTGAATAAAGTTGTTTGATGGGATCAAAAAAGCCATATGTGATTTGAAAACAAGTGTTTTGTGGTTTTGTTGCCACCTGTTTGAGAGGTCACAGCTCCCCGGTCCCGGTTGGTGGGTGACAGGGGAAAAGAGGGTGCTCGGCTTCCTTGGTGTTTCTGTGTTTCGGGAAACTTCCTTCTGGCCTTCCACTGGTCTTCCCATTCCTCACCCCAAAACCAGCACTTAGAAATGAAGGAACCTGTCTGATATGGTGCAGCTAGTACGTGGGGAGTCCTGGATCCAGACTAAGCCTGATCTCTTG